AGGCCTTCCATTCACTGTTGGTGGTGGTGACAATACTGCTTTGTTATCCACCGTCAAAGGAGGGCCCCATAATCGTTTGTTACCTGTAAAGGAGGCTTTTGGAAATGTTGAAAACTGAGTACTGGTTGGGATCATGCCGACCAATTGATTATTTGAGAGATTCAAGAACGAAAGGAAAGTAAGATTTCCCAATTGTGGTGGAATGTGCCCGCTCAGCTTGTTCTGTGACAGGTCCAAGGACTCGAGTAAACTCATGTTACCAAATGAGGATGGGATTTCGCCTGTGAAAGCATTTCTGGACAAGTTAAGGACATGTAGTGATTTAAATTCTCCCATTTCCTTAGGTATTGGTCCACTGAAATTGTTGCATGAGAAGTCAATCAAGGTGAAGATAGATAGAATCTTTACCAAATTCATCTCTGAACCTTTATTGGTAACTGTTATACTTATACCATACTCAAAGCCCAAAGAAACCTCCTCAAATCTATAACTGCCTCTGTTCGTTGGATTCTTATCCTTATTAAATCTATAATTGCCTCTGTCCGTTAGATCCTTGTTTATGTCCGTTGGAGCCATTAAGCCACTTTCCGTTAGAGCCTTATTAAGTCTATAATTGCCTCTGTCCGTTAGAGAATGATAATTATATATCTTTCTAAGCTTGTGGCCTTTGATTGTCAATTGGGAACCATCTTTGGTAACCATCATTTTCTGCCATGTTCTCCAAAGTATTCCCTGTATTTCACCACGGAAATTATTGTGAGCTAGGTCTATGATTTGAAGCCCTGGCCAGGTGCCATTGGTGTTGAGACATTCAATACCTCCATAAAAGTTGTTGGACCGCAAAACAAGGACACGCAAGGTGGAAATGCTCTTCAACAAGCATGGGAAGCTATCTGTTATATTATTGTTTCCCATGTTTAAAACCTTCAACTCAGTGCATTTAGCTAGAGATTTTGGAACCTGGCCACGTAACTGATTTCTACCGATCTCTAGAATTTCCAATGAACTATCTTTAGAAACTTCAACATTAGAAATAGTTCCAGTGAGTTTGTTTCTCTCTAAGTTAAGTACACTGATATCGCGTATTGCAGTCAAGCATTGGGGAATCATGCCACTGAGAGAATTATTAGACATATCAAGAATCTGAATATTTGGGACATTGCATATTGATGCTGGAATGAGCCCATGCAAGTTGTTGCTCGAAAAAGAGAAGAACGAGTAGAAATTATTTATCGAGTAATCCAGATACTTGGCAAATGGTAGGAAAGTGGGGATTTGTCCCTGAAGTTGATTTGAATGAAGGTCAACAGTTTTCACAGTAGAATTATATAAAGTAGGTTCCAGAGTAACCAAGGAGTTACAAGAAAGATTTAGGGAATCAAGTTGATTGGAACTCCAAATCCAATGGGGTATCTTGCCCTGGATATGATTTTCTGAAAGGTCGATGTTCGTAAGATATTTTAGCTGTTGAGGGCTATTAATCGGAAAGGCATTGAAATTGTTGGAAGAAAGACGAAGTGATTGAAGGCCTCGAAAATTAAATATAGAAACCGGTATTTGTCCTTCCAAATTGTTGAAGCTTAAATCAAGGGTAACTAAGTTGGAAGAGACATTAGAAAATGCAAGTTCACCAGAGAATTGATTGTGGGAAAGGTTTAGTTGTGACAATAAGGGAAGAGAAAAGAGCGACGACGGGATTGATCCAGTAAAATTGCATTTGAAAAGATCTATTGTGGACAACATTTTGAGGTTGCTAATTGATTCAGGCAGTGACCCTGAAAAGTTTGTATTGCGTAGAATCAAGGATTGAAGAGATCCATTATTCTTGGGAAAATCTGGCAAGGAACCACCAAGTTTAAAATTACCCGAAAGGTCAATAGTTTGTAGAGTAGGTACCTGAAAGATCTCTTTGGGAAATGTTCCATGCAACTGACAATCCCTGAGACTCAAGGAAGTCAACTTCGAAAAATTGGCAAAGAATCCTGGAATTGGACCGGAGATATAGTTCGAACCCAAATACAACTCCCTCAGGTTTGAAAAGTTGGCAAAGGATCCTGGAATTGGACCAACGATCGATTCTGTGCTAAGGTCAAGCCCAACAACATGCCCATCTCCATTGCAAGTAACACCACGCCAAGAACAACAGTCGGTGCTTGAATTCCAAGATATGAGCGGGGTTCGGCATGAAAGTGGATCAAATTGAAGGCTTTTCTTCAAATAGAGCAATGATTGTTGCTGGTCTTTAATACACTGGCTGTGAACTGCAGGGAGGAGGATATTGAAGCAGAGGAGGAACAAGAAATGCAGCAAAGTTTTCATTTTGGAAAAACCTTTTACTTTGAGAGATGCTAGCTGATGAGGGAAAGTTTTGATGAGAAAGAAAGGTTGTTCTGTCTTTAATATATACATATCATTATATGTAATTATATGCATGGTAGAATAGAATTGGAAAAGGACACCACTTGATGAGATTAAAATTTGTCGTCGCTGATGGCTTGACTTTGAAGTCTTCTACCAATAACTAACCTTGTAGTAGTAACCAGGAAAGTGGGATAGAACAAAAATAATGATGTTCCTGCAAAAAGTCCTCCCCGAGATTCATGGTTGGCTTAAAGGTCTTTCTTTTCTTTTCTTTTTTGAATTGAGCAAATCATACAAATCATACAAATGGAAGAGTGAGGAATCATATCTTTCATGATTATACATATATATTTGATCTTAAAAAGCAACTTTTAAACATCAATCTTAGGATTATGTCAATTTTATCATTATTGTGTTTAAATTAAATATTTTGCAATTCAAGTCGGTCAATTTTTTTTTCAATTCCGTCTAAAATACAATACTCAAACTGCTGAAACTATAAGAACCAAGGTGGAAAACCATTAGTTCCTAACTACCCTACTATAGCTAGCACATTAGTTTGAATTGTTTGTATTTTTCATTCCGTTGCCGCTTGCTAAAATTATGTTTTTTTTTTGTTCTTTTGTTTTTGTGGAATGAGTGTATGCTAGAAATTGGATTTAGAAGGCTTGATTGGTTCTTATTGTTCAACGAGACTAATTATACTCGACCATATCTCAAGTTCTCAACTGATTCTTACTAAACTTATTATGTGTAATATTAAGCGTTTATCCATAATAAAAAGAAAAATTAAAAATAACATATTAATTGTAGGTTTTGTTGCTTCGAAAAAAAATGAGCGGGTTTAATACACTAGTGCAATATCAACTTGAATCATGCATGCAGTACGTTTGGCTTACTTCCCAACCACCATATTTAATCCAGAAATTCTCAGTCCATTTTATTCCAAGTTAAACCCAATTAAACTCGAATTTTTAGATATTTAACAACCAAAAGAAGCAAGCTCTACACTTGTTTTTTGCAATGGGATATTGATATGTCGGATTGAGAGACCATGAACATTGTGGAAATTGTGATGTGAATGTGATGTTGCTTTATGGATTAACTTGTGTTATTAAAGTTTGCTCTATCTTGTGTAGTGGGCTCGGCTACAGTCTACACGGTTTCCTACCTACTTGGATTTTTGGATGAGTGTTGACTTGGTCAAGATCAATTAGTCATAGCTCATGGCCCAGTCGAAGAAAGCAGCTGATTTCTCTAGTCTAGTATTCCCATTATATCATATGCACGTATATGTTCATGTTGATTTCTAGGTTGGAAGAGGAATTCTCCATAATCTTGGATTGGATGTTTGGTCCGACCTTAGACACGAAGATGCTGAAGAAATTTCGAACCGAAGAGCTCCATAATCTTGGATTTAAGTTCGCACAATGCTCTTGATATTATATAACTGTTGAGAGTATTTGTCCCACATTGAAAAATTAAAGGGCAAAGTCTGAATTTATAAAGAATTGGGCTACTTTCCCATTGCCAATTGCTTTTGAGGTCCCTCAACTTTCTTCAACAACAACTTTGCATATCATTTAGATTTACCTACCAACCTACTTTCAATTATATGCTTCACCCTATCAAAAAAGAATAAGTGTAGTCAATTATATGACATCGGACCGCTTTAAATTTTTTTTACTTTTTTTTTTCTAACTTCCTTCAATTAACTAATTACTATCAAAAGAAAAAAAAAGTGAAAAACCAAGTTAAAGATTTGTTAATGGTAATCATATTCATTCTCATTTGACACATAATCTATAGATTGAGAATTTCATTTTCCAAAAAATTAACGTGATGATCTCCTTAGTGGTGTGGATAGTCCTTTGATATTTAGTTAGAAAATTTGCATATAGTGATTGTATTACACTCATATTTACAAGTTATTCACATTTAATATATGTATTTTTTACAAAAATTTTAAATAATACACGTAAACTTCATGTATTATACACATATCTTTGTACATATTATTAAGTAAAATACTACACTCTAAAATTTTGAATAATTAATATTGAAATACTCTATATTCCTTTTTTTCACTTAGATAATATGTGTAAACATTTTATTCGTATTTTTTATGTCCCTTATTTTATTAACTATGCTTTTTTAATATGGAAGTAATTTCACCTATAGATTATACTAAAATCCACGTCATTGAGAGCCAGTGCTAACAATCTGGATTCTAATGCTTGTCAAAATATTTTACGGAGTAACATCTGTTGTCCACTCGGTTGTTGTAACCATGATTTCATTACGGTGCTTTATGTATAGACTTGTTGACTTTGAAGTCTTGCCCTGTCAAGTGGACCCGGCTACAGTCTATGTTTGTGCAAATAATCTCACGGGAGAATATTCGCTTCTAGATCCTTGAACCTTCGATCTTCCTTCTCTCTCCTTCTCGATTCCTGTAAAACATATTGGAGTAAATAGACCACACTCGGGGGGTGTTGGCCAAAGGCCCTCGGATGCCTAAGTTAGTTCGAGTGTTTGTAGGAAAACAATAGCTAAGCAAAGGGTACGGAGTTTTATGTATGGTGTAAACCGAGTGGCCGGAGCCGTGTGTGGTGGCCGGAGCCGTGTGGAGAAAATATGGAGAGTGGAGAGTGGAGAGGGAGAGAGAGAGAGCTTCGGGTATTTTCTCGGGTTT